TTAAGGGGGTCTGAATACTTTCCGTACCCACTGTATACTATTGCAGTTTTGCTTAATATTTTGAATTAAATTGTATTTTTAGATTTTCTGTTTTCATTTAAATTTGAGTAATTTTATGTTTTTTATCATTTTTATTAGTTTTTTATGTGCCTATATACTGTAGTTTTTATTCAGATGTAGTTTTAGTTTAGTTACATTTAGTTACAAAAATGCAATGTTGGCTAGTCCACTTGCTGAAAGAAAATAAGTTAGAATTTTTTATATTTTATAAGTTATTTGTTTTATTTCAAGTAATGATTTTTTTTTTCATGGTTTCAGTTTTTGTTAACAATAATAACATTGGTATTTTGTTTTGATTGATTGATTGACTGATTGATTGATTAATTGATTGCTTGACAAAAAAGACAAAAACATCATGAAACACCATAAAACTCAAATCTGCATGACACCAGGAGACAAGTTTGATATCAATATTTGGTCACAATACACACAAGAAACAAAGTTGTCTGAAAATGTTATTCACGTCAAAATCTGACGTGTTGTGTCTAAATAACAACATTTATATTTTTAGGTTAATGTTTAGTACTTTTTTGTAATTTTTCCATCTTTCAGATGAGGACTGTAATTTGGAACTGGCATTTTTGGTGGACAGTTCAGAAAGTGCCAAAGACAATCATGCCCAAGAGAAGCGTTTTGTTACTGATCTCGTTGACCGGATCCAGAACATCCGACTCCAAACCGGACAGGGCTTGAACTTTAGAACTGCTCTCCTTCAGTACAGCAGTCATGTGATCACTGAACAGTCCTTCAAAGATTGGAGGGGCGTCCCCACCTTCCAGGACCGCATCGCCCCCATGCCATACATAGGGCACGGTACCTACACCACCTACGCCATCACCAACCTTACACGCATCTATCTGGAGGAGTCTGGCCCTGGCACCGTGAAGATGGCCATTCTGCTGTACGACGGCGAGTCGCATCCCAAGAATCCAGATATCTTCTCTGCTTTAGCTGATGCCAAGAACCAAGGGATTAAATTCTTCACAGTAGGTTTCACATCCGCTGCCAATGTAGAACAGCTGCGGATCCTGGCCAGTCCTCCGGCTGCCCGCTACGTACACAACCTACAGGACAAGGGCGTAGTGGACAAGATTGTCAAAGAGATTGTGAGTAGTGCTTTCCCTTAGGAAATAAAAATCTTGTGTTAACAGTTTTTT